TGTAGAATAAATTTTATTTAAATCCTTTCTTTTAACATTATAACTAAAAAAGTCCCATAAAAGTAATTTAAAAAAAACAGAAAATAAAAAAGATTCCCATTTTCATCCAAAATAATGACAATAATAAAAAGGCATCGAAATTGAATGGCTATAATTTATAAATATTAACAATCAATGAGTTGGCTTTTAACGCTCAAAAAAAGGGGAAGAACTGTCAATGGGCTGACCCAGAGCATGCAATTTTTCGTCACGAATTCAATTTATATCTTCCACTCGTCCCATTAATGGGGGATTCGATTTCAGCGGCTTTCGTTTACCGAGGAATCTTTTTCCCATTGAAATCGAATCTTGTTCTTCATCAGATTCAACGAGTAAGCTTGAAGTGGGAGAAGTCATTTGATTGATCGACTTTCCGTCTCTCTTTTTCCGAGTTCTTTCTGCTATGCTGGCTTCAAACGGCGAGGTTTTGCTTGATACTGGCCATTCTCGTCTTAATGAGCTTGGATACAAGCAAGAACTCAAGCGCGATCTCTCGTAAATTTCATGAACATTTCTCCTTTATTTTGGTTTAGTTTGTGTTTCTTGTGATTGTGATGTTTTTGCTGTTTGTGCGTTATGAATCTGAATCGCTTCAATCGTTGCTTTAATTGCAGGGTCTTTTCTAATTTTGCGTTTTCGTTTTCGATTATCTCGGTGCTCACTGGTATTACTACTCTTTACAATAATGGGCTGAATTTTGGTGGCCCTGTTTCGTTGGTTTATGGATGGTTGATTGCTGGTGTTTTCACCATGTGTGTTGGATTGTCCATGGCTGAGATCTGTTCTTCGTATCCTACTTCTGGAGGTCTCTACTATTGGAGTGCCAAGCTTGCTGGTCCAAGTTGGGCTCCTTTTGCCTCTTGGATGACTGGCTGGTAATCATTTTTTCTTCTTCTTTTCAGGTCACTGGATGCTCAAATTATAACATAATATCAGTTATGGATCAATTATCTACCATTTCTTAGTCCTTGGTATTGGTAGATTTGTTTGAGAGTTGCACAAGATTTGGATTTAACAAGTTTCAAAGCTTTCTATTTGATCAAATGAAAATATGTACATGGTGGAATAATTTGAAGAACATTTCCCCCCTGCTCCTTGCTTGTTCTTTAAATCTTTTGAAGTTTTATGGAGCTTAGGAACAGGATTTTCTTGTTCGTTATTGTTCGTTATTGCTCGTCTCGAGAAACTCCAATTACGTTATTTTCCTTTCATTTGTGTATTCCATTCCATCTTAACATGTTCTGATTTCTTGCAAACAACTTTAATCTTTGCACAGGTTTAACATTGTTGGACAGGTTCTTCTAAAGATCTTATGCTCAAAGTTCAAATTCTTATAACCAGGTTAAGCTTTTCGTTTAATAATCTCTAACTCGTGGAAGTGATCTGTATGCAGTGGGCTGTCACAACAAGTATTGATTATTCACTTGCTCAGCTAATTCAAGTGATAGTTCTGCTTAGCACAGGGGGTATAAACAATGGAGGATATGAGGCATCTAAATATGTAGTGATTATTTTCCATGGTGGAATTTTGTTGGTACATGCTATCATGAACAGCCTGCCCATTTCATGGTTGTCTTTCTTTGGACAGTTTGCTGCAGCATGGAACTTTTTAGGTATGAAGGTTCAAGTTTCTCTTTCTTTGAGCTCTTCATGAGCTTACATTTCTAACAGGATGTCGAATTCTTAGGTGTTTTTCTTCTTACATTTCTCGTTCCCTTGGTGGCAACGGAAAGGGCCAGCCCCGAGTTTGTCTTCACTCATTTCAATGCCGATAACGGCGAAGGAATTAACAGTAAACTTTACATATTTGTTTTGGGACTTCTGATGAGTCAATATACCCTAACTGGATATGACGCTTCTGCTCATATGGTATGTTCTCCTCCACCTCGATTTATGCATAACTGTTAGATAACTTGCAATGTAATTTGCGTCTTCGTGCAACATTACAGACGGAAGAAACGATAGAAGCAGATAAGAACGGACCGAGGGGAATTATTAGTTCTATTGGGATATCAATTGTTGTTGGTTGGTGTTACATAGTCGGCATCACCTTTGCCGTTACCAACATCCCGAACCTTTTGGATAAAAACAATGATTCTGGAGGTTATGCCATTGCTGAAATATTTTACCAAGCATTCAAGAGCAGATTTGGGAATGGAGTTGGAGGAATCATTTGCTTAGGTGTGGTAGCTATGGCGATTTTCTTCTGTGGAATGAGCTCTGTCACTAGTAACTCCAGGCAAGCTGACTAACTGTTCTCGTCATTTAAACACAATGTATGCGTTTTGGCTCACGGTTTCATATTTCATATAATTTTTCTTCATAGGATGGTTTACGCATTCTCCAGAGATGGAGCGATGCCATTTTCGTCGACATGGCATAAAGTGAACCAAAACGAGGTCCCCATAAACGCAGTTTGGCTCTCCGCTTTAATATCGTTTTGCATGGCATTAACGGTACGAACATTTGCATTGAATTACTATCTACCTCTTAGCCCTTTAACTCCATTTGTTTCACTGCATCATAATCTTGTTACAATACTGCAATCACGCCTAATAGTTTTCTGTAACGGCCCAAGCACACCGCTTGCGAATATTGTCCTCTTTGAGCTTTTCCTTTCGGGTTTCCCCTCAAGACTTTAAACCCGTCTGCTAGGAAAAAGTTTCCACACCCTTATAAAGGGTGTTTCGTTCTCCTCTCCAACCAATGTGGGATATCACATTTTTCCAATATCACATTTTCAGTAAATTTTAATGTTAGCTTGATGGATATACCGAGTTTGCGAGCACACCATGAAAATTAACCTTTTCATTTTAGGGTGTCTGAATTGTGAATGTAATTGCCACATAGAAAACAATGGCCTTCATAGGGGGAGGATATATTTTTACTTCTTGTTAACTTATTGCAGTCTCTTGGAAGCACAGTGGCCTTTAACGCCATGGTCTCTATAGCAACAATTGGTCTGTACATTGCATATGCCTTGCCCATATTTTTTAGGGTGACTTTGGCAAGGAGATCCTTTGTGCCAGGACCTTTCAACTTGGGTCGCTATGGGATCTTCGTTGGTTGGGTAGCAGTTCTTTGGGTGACTACAATTTCGGTTCTCTTTTCGTTACCTGTCGAGTACCCGATTACGAACGAGACTCTCAACTACACTCCTGTCGCAGTTGGCTGCATGTTGATCGTTACCATTTCTACCTGGATCTTGAATGCTCAACATTGGTTCAAAGGGCCTGTAACTAACATACCAACTTGAAACTGTACACTATGCAAATGGTACTCCCTTCTTTTGAATAAATAATAGTAAGATTTTTTTTTTTAAATTAGCAATAGAGCTTGAATTTATAAGTTTTATTTGGTTCGGGTCAATCCAAGGTTTTTATCCTATAAATTCGAAATCGAACCCAACAGAGTTAATTCGGGTTTAGGAAAAATAACCCAACCCAACTCCTATATTTCGAGTTGGGTTGGTCCAGATTGTCCGATGTTGAATGTACACTCCTAATATTTAGGAAGAATAGAAAAGAACTTGTGATATAGTTACTCTGGTATTTAATACATATTCAAACTTTGTTCATCATCTTTTCTGGTATTGTAGTTTTAAATCTTTTTGAGAATATATCGTTTGGAAATTTATATTCTCTCAGGGGGTTAGAATTTGAATCACTTCCAGAGAAAATAAAAAGTATTGTATAATAGCCCCTCTCTAATCAAATAAGTAGCCAAAGTGTGTACATCTAACCCGCTATCTCGAGAATCCAACCTGAATTATAAGGGCTCGGTTGAGTTTAAAAGGATTTTGGGTTTGGGTTGGGTTCGTTTTTTGGAACCTGATCTGGTTTAGGTTGAGTTTGGGTGCGAAATTTAAATTATTGAGTCAACCTCACCCAACTTGAAAACCAAAAAAAAAAAAAAAAAAAATCCAAGTCCAGGCAACCCAAGCCCATGAATCATCATTGGCCCCTGACACGTCTGCACGCTGCAGACTGTCTCACAGTCTCACGCAGTGTTCATCTTCGACCTCGAGGGTAATGGGGTACGTGAAATGAAGTCTCGGCTCTCGCACTCGCAGTCTCACACAATTTCATCACATCGTTCATTGTTCGACTTCTCTCAGTTTCTCTCTATGTGTAGTCGTTTGACTTCTCAGTTCTCATCTTACTCTCGTCTCGTCTCTGTGTGTCGTCAAACGTCGACGTCGATCGCCTCTTTATTCTCCATTGGACTCTCTTTTAAGTTCCCACTTTTCCACTCAACCTCAAGGCATAGGACGATTATATGGGTTGGGTTGAAACATTTTTAGATTTGTTGGGATATGGATATATATTTGGAAGATTATATGGGTTTAAATATTTGAAAGCTATATTTAGTAAATTAAAACAATATATATAACTGATTAGGTCGTATTTCTCCTTCTCTATATTGTCGTTGTACATACATAAGTCATCAATAATAAAACCTTTAGTCAATATTCCTCATATATTTTCTCTATCATGTTCTTTGTGTTCATCTTGATCGAGTGTGTGCGTTGTTGAGTAATCCTAATCATTGATATCAGAGCTAATAACGGGTATCGATCCTAACAAGACTTAATTCATTTTTTTTTTTTGTTTTCATTTTTTTTCAATCCAAGCTGTGATTTTGTTAAATAATGAAATCCTTCAACTTATTCGAGTTATTTATTTAAATTTGTTTGTAATAAAAATAAAATGGGTCTATTTTTTTTTTTAACATTGAATTTTATTTTTAATAATGGTGGGAGAAAATAATTAAAAAATAATTATGGAATGAAATAAAAATAAAAATATGTATATATTTAAATCGTAAGAATTTTTTAAAAAAAAATTGTTCAAACTAATTTGTATCCTATTTATTACATTTAATCGGGCAGCGGCAGACCAACTGGGTCAACCCAAACCCGCTAAAACAATTTGGGTATATAAAGCCGACCGACCCATTAATACGAAAAGAGAAATTCATTAAGGTGTGGTTAGGTAACGCTTCGACGGGAAACGGACAGTCGATTTGAATTTCCCGGCCGGCTAGGACCAAGATTGATCGGAGAAGAAAAGGAAGAGTTTAGATTTCGAGGTCTTTGACAATGGCGAGTCTCCTTCTTTCTTTAATTTCATCGGCACGGAATTCTTTTATGTATCATTACTACTACTCATGGTTTTCCCAACACACTTCGTGATTCTTACTTTTGAGTTCTTATTTTCAGGCGGATTCCGCTGAGGAATTTGAGCCCTTGTTCGACTACAGCCGCGTTCAGCCTCGCTCCGTTGTTTGTCTCGATGGTAATCGTTCTCAAGCTTAGGTTAAATTTGAATTTCATGAAGTTGGAATCTTCCATTTCACTGTGTTTGAAGTTTTTATAACTATCGCTTCAGAGATAAATTTCGAAATTGATTTTCCTTGTGCTCATAGTCATGGTTGGTAACCTGGTGCTTTATTTGTCTTCTGCTTGGACTAAAATCAGACGAGGATTCGGACGTAGAGGAGTCTCGTGTACCTTTTTCAAAGCGAACGAAGATTTCAAATTCAGCGGTATATAATTACCTTCATGTAGTGAAATTGTGAACTTTCTGTTAGCAGAGGATTAATGTTCGTTGGAACAGTCAGTAAAGCTAGTTTTATGTGATTCTTTCCTTTCAATCAATATTTAGGTTACGAATTTAGTGGACAATCAAGCTGTGGAAAATGAAGATAAAGAGGAAGATTGGCTGCCCCCTCCACCGAAGGTGTCTGTTGATGCAAAAGACATGTATGGGGAAGATTCGACATTGAAGAAGTTAAGGTATTCCAACCTAGTAACATGCATCTATTGCTTGATTAATTCACTTATATTTCAACATGGAAACCTTAGGGCTTGTTTAGTAGGCAATCTTGGCAATGAATTTTGTAAACAAGGGATTCAGCGAAAATAGGGTTGTATTCAGATATATGTTTGATAGCAGATTTTGAAATTGAATTCCAATTTAAACAATAATTCACTTATATTTCAACATGGAAACCTTAGGGCTTGTTTAGTAGGCAATCTTGGCAATGAATTTTGTAAACAAGGGATTCAGCGAAAATAGGGTTGTATTCAGATATATGTTTGATAGCAGATTTTGAAATTGAATTCCAATTTAAACAATAATTCAAAATGTGCTCTATAATATGGAACTAGTTGTAGTTACAAAACTGAATATTAGGTTGAATATAAATCACTATTAATTGATTTTTTATTTATAAATTTTGTATAATCATTATTTTACAATATCATACAATTTATAATATATGTATTTTAATTTAACAAAAATAAATTGAGTTTATAATATGAAATACTATATTTTTTAAAGTTATCTTTTTTAATATAATTTTGCATTTTAAACTTTGAAATTCAAAATCTGGACACAATGAAACAATTTTCTAAAACACATACGTCAAATGCCTACACTCACTAAACTCAGTGAATTGAAAAACATGAAGCAGAATCGAGATTGTCTATCAAACAAACCCTTATTTTTTTCTGTGCATAGGATTCTATGGCATGTCTCTTGCCATTTTGCCTTGGCGTATCATATGTAATCTGCACTGATAGGTTAAAGAAGCAAGAGTTGGCCTCAGTTGCTCTATCGGCTAAAAACTTGTTGCGAGAAGTGGAGGAATCTGCAAAAGTGGATGTTGGAACCACGCCCCACGTCTCCCTGGACCCTGCTGTGGATGACCAAGCTCCAATTGCTTCTAAAGAAAGAGAAAAGATTGTTATTTCTGTACGAGATAGTGACAAGGAAGAGCTCCAACAGTTTCGCCTGTTTGTGGTATGTTCTTGTGCATGATTCCATGTTATCCACAATTCAGACTTTGCATTCTTCAAGTACAACAACCATCCTGTTTTGTCAACATTCCTCATGATTTGCCATAGCTGTTTTTGATGATTTGCCATAGCTGTTTTTGATGTACTCTCAAGATGCCTTTAATTTGCCCAATAACCTTGCATTGGTTGGCATGTTTAGAATCATATGTAGGGAAATGAATGAATTTGGTGAACTATGGTAGATTGCTTAACATACGTATCATGGTTCATATTATACATCAGCTAATCTTGAAACATTGATTTAAAAAAAAAAAAAGGTGAACAAATTTGAACTTCGTCCTTTAAATTCCCATCTTGGGAGAGGTAGTTCCTTTAGTATCTGGGTTCATGACTTTGTTACTGTATAATTGTCAATAGTGATGAGCCGCATGTACCCTTTAATTTGATTTTTTGTCTTTCCTTTCCACGTTATGATTGGCTTAACTCTCCATTGTGGGGTGATCATTAGATTTGAACCGAGATGTTATTCATTACTTTTGTTACATTAGTGTTCTGTTCTTTGAATTATTGTACTTTCTATGATTCATACTCATTTAGACTATGATGAAAGTGTTTAAGTCTCCATTGGTGATGGTAGTTCAGACATTATTTGATTGAATTACTTTAGAAGAGTCTCCCTGATCTTCATATTTTCTGTCATCATATCAGTTAGATTGCTGTTGAAATTAGCTTTCTTTTGTCATTGCCTTCGGCAGGGGAGCGCCGCCATAGGCCCTTAGTATTTCAAGCATGTTTGAGATGATTTTGAAATTATTGTGTAACCACTTTTTTCACCTTCACAATCATTCCAAAACATGAGCATAATGACACTTCTTAATGTGTGTTCCATGTTTAAAATTTGAATGTTTTTACAGGATGACAAGTTTGAGCGACTTTTCAAAATGTACGCGGACAAACTTAAAATCGACCCTAAGAGTTTGGTTTTCGTCTTTGATGGGGATAAAGTCGGGCCAGATGATACCCCAGTTGGCCTCGGCATGGAAGACGATGATATGATTGAAGTGAACATCAAGTCAAGTTGAGTGAAAAGTTGTCTTTTCAATGTATATTTGAGGATTAATTCACCAGTTTTGGGACGCGAGACTTGGGATGGAAGGCTGTCGGGTCCCTTTGTCTGGTAACAATCGCTTGGTATGCACATTGAGATCAATAGAAAAATAAAAATTATGGAGAATATGAAATTTTATAGATATGTTCTCTCTCTCTCTCTCTCTCTCTCTCTCTCTCTCTCTCTCCCTCTCCTCTTCCTCTCCCCTTCTCTCCTCTCCTCCGACATCATCCTCTCCGCTGCTCCCTCCACCGGTCACAGGTGACTTAATCATGTAATTACACAATAAAATTGTATTAACCTTCCATTTCTCTCTGTACCCTTTTGATTACAAAAGAAATTTCGATTATCGACTTCTTTTTCCGAGTAAATTTCGAGTCCACAATCGAAATCTCGGCTGGAATCTCAGTAGTTTATCAATATTTCCCTCTGAAAGCTTCCGATCAAAAATCAGATTCGATTAACCAGCACAGGCAATTCCACTTTCAGGACTAGAAAACCGGCACAGATATTGGAGAATTTGGTCATGAGCTTTTAAAATTAACAAAAGCTTCATGTTTATGACTATTTGTGTGCGGGACCTCTTGGTTTAGTTATGGAGCCGTAATTCGAAAGCCCTGTTATCCAATGCCAACTTGGGGGGATAAGATTGTCGATCACATAATCTAACGTGTGTCCTTTGGTGAAGGGATCTTCTTAGGTCACATGCAGTTGGATAACTTGGTCGATCATGAAGAATTATGGGTCCCCATTTGCAGCCACGTGCCCACCTCCATTCCGGACAAAGCTTCACGGCTCCCTCGCCCACGTCACTCCCCAAAAGTGCCAAGCTGTGGACCTATCTCTTCATCTTTATGATGATAATAAAGGTAAGAACCAGGCTTCGCTTCAGATTCAGAAGCTCTCTCAACTTCTGTTCTTTTCCCAACTCTGACTCCCACCCTGCACTTTCCCGTGTAAGTTTTTAAGTTCTTTCTCTCACAGTACTCTTAAGGGTCGAAACCCACCTTTTTGTTGAGCCATCTTTAATGCTCACCGTCCTGAATTTCCTTGCTTTTCTTGTTCTTTGATGTGATTTCTCAGCTGGGTCGATGCTGGTTTCTGTTCTTTCAATATTGCTGGCTCTGTTCTTCTGTTTTGATTCGAGGTTTGGTTCTTCTTGGCTGTTGATATCCTTTTGGAATGTCTTTTTGACTGCTTGTTTGTGTTTGAGTTGAATCTTCTCTTGTTTTTGTTGTGTTTTTGTTGTGTTTCTGTATATGAAAACTCACTTTCTTGGATGTCTTGTGCTGGTTAAATTTTGATTGCTTGTGGAATGTCTGCTAGTTTAAGAGTTCATGGGCAACAAATAGGCTTCTCTGGTTTGAATTGTGATGAGTAAGCTGTGTTTTTGTGTCAAAACATCATATGGATCTTTGAAAATAATGGCAGGTTTCTCTTCAATGACGGATCGGCTTGACTCGAAAGAAGATCAGTTCATGTAAGGACATGAACTGATAGAGATTTTGAACATGAACCAATGGAGAGAAGTTGTGAATTCTGTGCTGCACTGAGGCCAATTATTTACTGTACGCCTGATGCAGCTCACCTTTGTCTTTCCTGTGATGCAAAAGTTCATTCAGCTAATACACTTTCAAGTCGACATCTTCGGACTCTCTTGTGCGAATCATGCCGAAGTTTCCCTTCTTATCTTCAGTGTTTAGATCATCGAATGTTCTTGTGTCGTAGCTGTGACCGAGCGCTTCATGTTGCCTCGTCCCAACACCAGAAAAAGATTATCAGAGGATACATGGGATGTCCTTCAGCCAAGGATTTTGCACAACTTTGGGGTTTTCATGTCAATGAAGTTGACAAAGATAAGTTTGTGTCCAATTCTGGCTCTGATACTTCCGGTGTTATGGCTTTCGACACAGCAGGACGAAGCTGTTTGCGTATAGCTGGAGTAGCTCGAATGAGCTATCCCCCTCATGCTGAAGCTGAAAACAAGGTTGGATCATTGTCCCAAACTACACAAATTACAGCATTGAGCACTCTTTTTTCATAGTTTGGTAATGGTATATTTCTTATTATGGGTTTGTCCTTTCGGTTGAAATTCGTCGTAGTTTTTAAAATTAGACGTAGTTTAGGCGATCGATCAGTTTAGATCTGTAGTGATTGTGCAGTTCAATTGATGAACTGCAGACCTTTGATTCTTTTATGAGTATTCTACCGTATTTTCTTGATGAAAGAGGGACTTAGTTTCTGGTTTCTACTGCAGATGCTTTACAAAGGTCAAGAAAAGGGCACTTCATTCATTTTTCAACAAATTCTAGACTTGAGTCGTCTCCAGCTTATAAAGAAGAATAACGATTCGCCTTTGATTCTTGGTGACGGAAAAGATGGCGCGTTTTCTGTAAGGCCTTGTGCGTCGGAGAAGTTCGAGCGATCTCTTAATCAACACCTGCACCCTTCCGAGGACCGGGGTACCGAACTTCCGCAAAAGGACAGTTCACTTCAGGAGGAGAAAATGTTATCGTTTACTCAGCTTGAGAATTTTCCATTGTCATCCCCTATTTTGATTCCTTTCCATGGAGAATCCCTTTGGCATTGTAAAAGCCCAGCTGAGAGTAGTCAGGTATATCTGTTGAACAAACTCAAGGATTTTGGTTCTGAAATTTTATGTTCTTTTTTCTCAAACATGTTTCAAAAACTTGGCAGCTATGGTCTCAGAATATGCAAGATCTTGGAGTTTGTGATGAGCTTGTTTGTCGCGATGATTTCAACATACCTGAAGTCGATTTAACGTTCCAGAACTTCGACGAGATATTCAACAGTGATCAAGATCCTATGGGAGGATTGTTTGATAATAAAGATGAGTCATTCTCCTCCATCGAGAAGGATATGTTGTTCGATAAAGAGGATAATCACCATGGAAACGGGATGGAGGTTCGGAGCGTTATAATTTCTCTCTTTTCTTTAGATCCGTGAAAATGAATAATCAAGTTCCATTTTTTAGTTTAGTTTATTGTAACGGTCCAAGCCCATCGCTAGCTGAAATTGTCCTCTTTGGATTTTTCCTTTCGAGCTTCCCCTCAAGGTTTTAAAACGCGTCTGCTCGGGAGAGTTTCCACACCCTTATAAAGAATATTTCATTCTCCTCCCCAACCGACGTGGGATCTCACATTTATTCTCTTAGCTTCTGCTTCTTCTTCTTGTTATTGTATTGCCAATCCATATAAATCTGTGTATGACAGGCAAGCTCGGGTAGGTCGACATCTTGCATCTTCCCGTCGGATCTTATGGACAAAGATAGTGATGATCCATCTGGTGAAGCTTGTAGGCCTCCCACGAGTACAACCACGGAACGTGCTCGTCCAATCCGACCCTCCTTTTCAACTTTGTCGTTTGTTGATTCAAGGATGAGTGTTGACACTGCAAGTACTGGTTGCCCTGATGGGGCTGGAGGCGAGCCTTCATGCAGCTCGCCTTACCGTCGTGAGCGTAAACAGTCCGTGCCCCTCAACGACCACGCCGCAACAAGAGGGTACAAAGAAAATCAGCAATCTCAACAGTAAGTTTCAAAAAGTGCATACATTTCATGAGTTTAAAAGATCCAATACAATACAATGAATCCTTTGCTATTTTCAGGCAAGAGAAACAAATTCGACGTAAGGGCAGATCTCTCGTGAAGAAACGAGTAAAGGGTCGATACGAAGAAGGCGATCGATATGACTCGAATGCCGTTGCTATCAGTCGAAGTTATTGAGCTTCGGGTTTGTGTTTCTTTTTGTACATCGTTTTCAACCTCAGAAGGCATCTCTCTTCACTTTAATCTTTTGAATCAGTTCTTTCAATGTGGATTGGCTACACTTTACCTAAGCTCAGAGAACAAAGCTTTGGGCAAGCCTTCATAATTCATTCTAATCACAAATTTTTTGAGTTAGGTTGGATTGGTTAAAACATTTTTAGGCTCAACTTAATTGTTCGGATTTTAAATATTTTCAAGCAAAATAATTTTTATTAAATAATAATCCAAACTCACCTCAATCCTAAACATTTTTATTTATTCAAATTTTTATTTTTAATAAAAAAAATATTAATTTCTAAAACTTAATTAAAATCAATTTTAATTCATAATTATCAAAATGTTAACTAGCTTGTGGTTAACATCAATCATATAATATACTTCAATGAAGATGTGAAGAAAAGGTTGTCAAAATTATCAAAAGATGTTTCAATTCATGCCACATTGAAGAATAATGAAGTTTGATTGTTATAAAATTTGGTGGGTTACAATTTAGAGTTATTGTATTTCATTTATGTATTTTAAGACTTTATTTACTATAGGTTACAATTACATAATAGTTAATTATGATCATTAAGTATGAATGTTACAACTCTTGGAATGCCTTTAATAGTTTCATTTTGAGGCTATCTAAAGCCATGTATGTTGTATGTGTAAGGGACTTGAAAAATATAGTAAAAATGAGCATTTGTGCTCTTCTTTAGAATCATTCAAGCTCGACATAATCGATCTTGCTTGTGAAGTGATTCGAATCTCAAACAATGTTCTTGGTTTGAGATATTCGATCAACAAGGTAATTTGAATCTTACTCTCCTTGTAGTGGTTCCTTATCTTATCACATTGGATTAGTTTTGATCAAGCTAATTCTGAGTGAGTCGTCTTAGAATCTAAGAGTGATCATCATAGATTCCAAGTTCCATCTAAGAGTTATTCATCTTCTAACCGACCCTTAATTAGAATTACCTTTAACTTTCTAATAAGAGATTATCACTTAAAAGATATTTATAAAAATATTTAATATTTAAAAAATAAGGATGTTCAAACTGATATTCTCTTTATCTAAAATATGTGGCTAAGTTTATTTTTTTATATAATTTGACTTTTTTATAAAGAAAAATCGTGGGATCCAATGTGCACGCGTGCATTGTACGCCGCCCGATTTGGGGGCTTGAACTTCGGCGAAAAGATTTGGTACGTTGGATTGGATTTGAAACGGATCGCCGTGCGGCGTGAAACGCTACAAGATACGGCATCGAGTCTCACGCGCCCAATTCCCGCCATTAAAGGACACCAATTGGACACCCTTTTTTGGAATTTCGCACCCCACTTTCCACATTCTTCCTTTGATGGGGGTCTCG